CAGCACAAGGGTTTAACCCACTCTGCCACCAGGGGCTCCATAGCCCTTAGTCACTGTAGGGGATTGATTCCAGGACTCCCCTGGACATACCAAATTTCCCATCCTGACAACCAGAGGCAAAAAGGTCACCCACTCATGTCAGACGTGGAAGGAAAAGACTCCAGGCAATGTCTCCAGAAGCCCTCTGGAGTTCTGAGTTTCCCCCTTTTGTCCCTGATTGTATTTTCCTACATAGCAAGGAGTTGAACCAGATGGACTTTGTAGTGTCTTCCAACTCTATAATTCTATGATTCCTCCACTTCAGTGGCTTCTTCAGCCTCAGCAATGAAGTGCTGCAGAACAGCTTACATCACAATAAGTAGGCAACCAGGCAGGGCTGGAGAGAGTGAAGAGGAATCCTTTGCTGCTTTTTTGGGAATATTTTTACTATTGGTTGAATCCACAGAACCTGTCAATGTTGAAGGCCAGCTCTATACCTTCTGGGACCATGCTGACCAAGTGCCATGGCTTAGATCCAATGAAAATGGATCCATTGAATCAATGCGACTTAAGTGTTTATTTACTCTTCAGTAATTGATTCCATGGGTCTACTCCTACACTTGGGACAAGAAACTGGATTCAAGCCCAGAACGGCAAACATGATCAAGAAAGATTTTTGTTTAGTCTCATTGTAACAGGCCAATAGTTGCAAGAGAATGAAGAATAATTAGGCTGCCATCTTTTGCCTCTTAGAAAGTTGATCATCTCTTAGTAAGAAGATCACAATGCCATATGATCATTTAGCAATAGATTCTATCAAGCTGAAAAAGACTCTGAGTAGACTGGAGCAATTACTAATTAAGAAAAAAACCCACAATTATTGATGCTGCCAGGTATACTGAGAGATTCCATAAAGGTTTCCTGCATTTTTTTTCCAGATGACATAACTACCAGACATTAGAAGTTTCAGCCAGTGTGTTTATCACACCCTGTTCATAGCAGGTTGTTTCTCCTTATGTAAAGGAAAGAGAGCTGTAATTTTATGTGTCTGGGCTCCTTTTGAACAAGGTCGAGCTGCTACTGACACATGGTTTGCTTTCACAGCAGAAAAGTATATATTTTGCCACAGATATTTCACAGACTTTAAGCTGATATGGTATGATGCACCCCTCATATTTAAGTTTGTTTTTTAATAGAGAGCTGGGTAAAATGATCTCGGAATAAGGGGAAAAAACCCATAGAAGTAGAATAAATAGTGATTAAAAGCACTGAGTTTCCAGTTAATTCCCTTCGTTTGAACATTGAGAAACTGTTCCAATTAAGAAAGATATCAAATTTACAATCAAGAGAAACGATAAAAGTTAATGACACATCTGAAATTTAGATGTTAGAATTATGGATTGATTCTTGTCTAAAGCAATGGGAAATTATAAAGTTCATATGGATATTCATCATATCTATGTATATATGTATATAAACACCTGCTTTTTAGTAGCTTTTGAATTATTCTCCAGACATAATAAACCACAGTAAATGAAAATCAAGGAACAGACAATAAAATCTCCAGGCTCTAAGAATGTGCAAGCGTAGTTGATGTGAGTTGTTTTCCCAAATGTCCAGTCAGAGTTCTCAGGTGGCTAATGTGTTTGAAACGTGCAATTCAAAGCTCCAAATAATATGTTTATGAATCCGGACATGTTCTGTGCACTGTGGAAGGGGCTGTGTAAGAAAAGACAACAGTATATCTGATTTCAACTAAACAGGGTTTTTAAACTAAATTATCGATTTCCTCTTGCAGGATTGGAGTAAGCAACACTGCAAGGCTCTCAGTAATCATTCCAAATGTAATTGCAGGATTCAATTTAATGGTAATATGGGAATATTTCATTTGCATTGGTTTCCAATAGAATGGCTTGCACATCTGTAGTCTATAGCCCGTAGGCCTGCAGATGAAAGCAAAGCCTTACATACTCTGTATTTCAAACTTCATAAACTTCATCAACCACATCCTTAAATATATTTAATAGTAAATATAAAGATCTTTATAGCACACACATACTGCATAACCCAATAAGTAATACTTAATTATTTTACAGTTATTTAGTGTATGCCACATCATTCAAATGCCTTTAAAAAGCAACAATTTAGGAAGGAATGGTATCTTTCTTTTTGTATAACCAAAACATGGATACACTGAAACATATAATTTTATAATGTTTAATTTTGTTGTATTTTTTTCATTTGGCAATTGAATGTTTTGCCCTATGTTGAAAACCACCCTGATTCCTCTTGGGGAGATAGGGCGGTATATAAATAAAGATATTATTATTATTATTATTATTATTATTATTATTATTATTATTATTATTATTATTATTGAGAGGTGATAATAAGTTCTATTAACTGCTCAACCAATGCAATGACTACAAAACACACTGCTCTCCACTGCTGTATAGTATCTAATGGACAAAATTTCAAAAAATACTTCTCAAATAGTGACCTAGCCTCTTAGACACCCTTTATTGGTATTTCACAATTTAGAATAAACTGGTTTAATTCAAAGAACTTCAACTTGCATGAATAAGGTTACAGAACATGGTAAATAGCACTGCATTCTACAGGTCATTGAAAATACACCAAGGACAATTATGTCTAATTAGACAAGCTTCCAGGGTCAAGATGAACCCAGTACATGCAGCATCCTATATAATGCATTGATTCTTTATGAAAAGTACTTGTTTTAACTTGGAGCACTACAGCTCTGACTTAAAGAGAAAGAATCTATATTTAGCATACAATATCTGTTCACTGAAATGCACAAAATCAATGGTCTCTTGATATTCCTGAAGAGACTTGCGCTACAGGCTCAGTGCAGATTAACCCACTCCCCTGCCACTGGTTTAGAGTGCTGTTTTCGAGAATAATTATCACTCTTTCATCATGAATTGCAGACAATATAGAAGACCACATCTGGGAAGTTGTGGAAACATTACATACAGTATGTAGTTCCCTAGGGAAAGTGACACAGTATTCTCAACCGTTTCAAGCTTGACAAAGCAGTGTTGTATATGGGATGCCAGTACACAGTACAGATGTAGATGGGCATCTTAGCAAATGCATTTCTGGCTTCCCCTAATGAGAGTGTGCATTTGAATGCACATTTGGTTGTAAATTTAATAGAGTATTCAATTGTGCCGTTGGTTATGCAATGCTGTCATCCGAGGACTCAAGGGTTGCTGTTCAAGAGTATGCAATGCTGTCGTTCAAGTGGTATTTCTACATGAGATTTACATGCACACTCCTACTCTAGTATCTCAGAAAAGATCTGGGCTTCGAAGGAAGGCTTTCCTTTGTCCTACAATCTGAACAAGCACATTTGGTGAGGATAGAAGACAAGTTATCCTGAAGGCTGCTCCTAGCCTGTCGAGGTCCCTTCCACAGATATCCCTTCCACAGATGTCGGGTCTGACCTGCTCTTTGCTCACCTTCTGCCAGCTAGTAAAAACTGTTTGATTCACACAAGCTTTTAACAGCATGCTGCAGAATGGACTTTTAAGAGGTGTGATTGCACCATACTTGTTTCTTCTGATTTCTTTTAAAGGATTTGAAATACAGTGCTTAGTCTTAATATCAATGCTGTTTGTTTCTATTATGCTATGGTATTGAAATTCATTGGGGCTTTAACTGTATATTGTTTTAATTCACCCTGGGAGAAAGGTGAGATATAAACTGAAAAAATGAATAATCACATGTGAGGACTCCTGAGAGATGAAAAGCCTTTAGCAGCTGTGAAGATGAAGGAGAAGTAACATAAATCTGCAGTGACTTTCTTATTGGACCTGTTTTTTTCCAGCCATGTTACACAGAATCTGAAGTCTCTGGCCACAATACCATCATAACCCCACACACACCAAAAAGGATGTATGCCAGGCACTGGCAAACTTTGGCCCTCCAGGTGTTTTGGCCTCTCAGAAATATAAGCCAGCTGACCAGCTGTTAGGAATTGTGGGAGTTGAAGTCTAAAACACTTGGAGGGCAAAAGTTTGCCCATGATGTAGAATCAAAGATTATAGTCTGTCACTACCCAATAAGACCATGCTAGGACCTTTTCTCACTTCTTGGAATGTGCATGGAACGAGATAGTTTAAAAAAACCAGCCTTCCCATTCTTTGAGCCACTTTGAGTCTTCTTGTGAAGAGAAAAAGCAGGGTATAATAAACATATAATAAACAACGACAACGACAACAATATATGGATTTGCTCTACTGAATTGAGGCTTCTTCTGAAGGTGAGATGACATCTATGCATCAGATCGTTTTTATTTAAGATTGATGTCTAAGTCACTGCTTCTTCAGTTATCTGATATGGATGAAAACCATTTATTTACTTACTTTTCAGCATGCCAGCAGTGATATTATATTTGTGTCTATGAGCTATAACTGTTTCTTTCATGGAAGTTTTCAGGAACCAGCAATTGACTCAATTGTGAAGCATTTTTTCTTTAAAACAACCTCCCAAGAAACATCTGGCTAACATTACTTTTTAATGAAATAAAATGCAGATCCCTGTCTGTCACAGGAAGACTACAGGGCACCAAAGTAACAATATAAATAACAATAACACCAATTTGAGTTAAACAGAGTCTTTAAAAAAAACTACTACAGCAACACATGTGTTGTTAAGATCACTATAATTAAGGTATCTGTGTTATTTCTATATTCTTGATGTCTTCAACAGAATTCAGGACAGTATCTCATGTGAGATATGGTGAGGTGCTTGGAAAAATGGCTTCCTACCTTTTAGAGCAGTGGTTTTCAACCTGTGTGTCCCCGGATGTTTTGGCCTTCAACTTCCAGAAATTCTAACAGCTGGTAAACTGGCTGGGATTTCTAGGAGTTATAGGCCAAACACCTGGGGACCCACTGGTTGAGAACCACCGCTTTAGTGAGATTATCAGCACAACAAAAATAATGTGATACAAAATCTCCAACCCTTTCTACTCTTGTATACACAAGTCTTACCTGAACATGTCTCCCAGGCCTTTGAGCATTCCTTTCTTGGCTTTGATTTTGTCCTTCTCTTTGTCACGATCTTTTTTCTTGTCTTTCCCCATTTTTTTCCTGTCTCCTTTGTCTTGGTTGCCATTCATCTGTCTTTCCAGAGAATGGGATGGCTGGTCACTTGATGTGGACACAGATTCTCTACCTGATCGCGAGCTTTCTTCAGTGTCTTCTTCCACTGAAAAATGAAAATGCATGATAATATTTATGGAGACGGAAGGGGAACAATTACATTTTTTTCTCTAAATCAGCTTTTTAGAGAAATGCATACTGTTAATTAACCACATGACTCGTGTTGTGCAGTGTGTTGTGAAATCTTTACCATTTCTTTCACAGAAAGTATTTATTCCCTGTAGGTCCATAATTACCATATGAATAATATACTGCTATCACCAGTACATTATTATTTCTACTGATCTCTGCAGCATTATTCATGTAGACTTCACAACATTTTTGGAAAAGGTAGGCTTTTGATTTAGCTTGATGTCTTAGTGTTTTGTCTCCTTGCATGGATATCATATTATGTGCATGTGGGTGTCATGATGAACCATGGCTTCATGGGATGTAAATCTGTGAAGTCTTGAATACTATGCTTGCCTGTTCCACACGTCATTTCAAGTAGTTCAGTTTAGTGCTGTTCCTGAATGCAAAACAATGGTTAACATAAGAAGTTTATTTAAAGAAAAAGTTAGTTTCATAAACTATTGCTATGAAACAACAAATAATAGTTGAAGATAAAGCTTAGGAAAACTATTTTTGAAGTGCATGTTACAGAATTCCACAGCTCCATGCCCGCTGGTCATGCATACTGGGGAAATATGGGTATTGCTCTTGAATACACACATTCAGTAGGTTTCACTTTTCTGCAAAACATACTATAGTTATTTTTAAAAACAGGCTCTGAATGGGGACAATACTTGAGGATCTGCAAAATCCAGCAGGGTTCCAGCACACACAGAGAACAAAAGCTGCCCTGATTTCTTTCTGCATTGTTGGAAAGACCTCTATAGAGACTTCCCCACTGTTTCACAGTTCATTCTCTACTATCTCATAGTAATACAACTTCACTTCTAAGATTGCAGTGCAATAACACGAACTAGGTACTGCCCTGCCATTAACTTGTTAAATCAACGATCCAAGGAGATCTATTATGTATTCAAACAGGTATGAATACAAGCAACACAGCATCTTATCAATAATTTGTATGCTAAGGTAAAGGTAAAGGTTTTCCCCTGACATTAAATTCAGTCGTGTCCGACTCTGGGGGTTGGTGCTCATCTCCATTTATAAGCCGAAGAGCCAGCATTGTCCATAGACACCTCCAGGGTCATGAAGCCAGCATGACTGCATGGAGCGCCGTTACCTTCCTGCTGAAGCAGTACCTATTGATCTACTCACATTTGCATGTTTTCAAACTGCTAGGCTGGCAGAAGCTGGGGCTAATAGCGGTAGCTCACATTGCTCCCCAGATTCATACCTGTGACCTTTCGATTAGTAATTTCTGCAGCACAGCGGTTTAATCCACTGCACCATCACTATGCTACTTTTCTGTATGAACACATGGAATGCAATACAGAAAATCAAATTTGACTAAATTCTTGTTTGCCCATGAGGGAATAGCTGCAGCACAGAAGTAGAGTTTGTGACTTACTGGGAAACATCCTAAATTCACTCGAGACATCTCTAGTTACGGGCCATTATAAGCAGCACTTAGTTAGATGGATCAAAGCATTGCTTCAATATACATCAGGCTTGAGTTTCTTTTAACAACATGATTCTAATCAATTAACCATCAACCAATTGCTATTGTCATAATTTGGGGAGTATTTGGACACAAATTAATTTATATATTAAAAGCAAATATCTTTCTGCAGAACATGGAGCTTTCACAAATTGGCTTTTTTGGGACTACAACTCCAGAATCCCCCTTGTCACTTTATCTAGACCAAAAATGTAGTATCTCGAAGCTCTGCCAGAAGCCCGAGTATTCACTAGTTTAGTGCATCAAAGGCAGAAAACTGTTATCCTATTAAAATTCAACTCCAGGCAACAAATTACATTTTTGATTTGTGTGCCGGTGTGATTGTTCAGGGGTGACATTAGGTTACAGAAAAGAATCCCCTTCCCTTCCTGAAGGCAAAACATTAAATCAGGCTGTTCTTTTTTCTTTTTTCTTTTGCATATGACTGAAGAGCAGATACATATTTTATTAAAGAAAACCTACAGGGAAAGTATTATGAAGCTACTCCCCTAATTACGTTACAAATAAGCAATGTACATGAGAAAGTGTAGCTGTTAAACTCAAAGTTGCTCTATAATGAAGCTACTGCACTGCTTATTTTGTTATTTAAGGCCAGCAAAAGATCTAGCAATTAAGAAGCAAGGGAGATTATGGAGATCTGCCAATTTATTCACATTCAAATGGCTTGCTCTCAGACAACATAGGAGGGAAAGAAAGAGGAAAGAATGTTTATCAGACATTCTGCGATTTCGAAAACAAGTACTGATCCAAACATGTCAGAAGGTCATCTATTTGAATCTTAGCACACATACATACTCTCCGTGTGTGTGTGTGTGTGTGTGTGTACACATACATACACACACTTGTACACACACACACGGATATCCTCCTCCCAACATATAACCTTCCCATCTGTCTTTCATACATTGCTAAAGAGTTTGAATGGCCTATTGTTCTTAAAACGCTTTAAATAAGCTCACATAGTCCTCTATCACGTGGAGCATCCCTACGCATTAAGAATTCTATACAGGACATAATTATGGTTTATTTATAAACAATTCAATGCAATTCTTTTTCAAAAATGCACAAAAGGTCAACGGCTGGCAAGATGAAATGTTCTCCAACACATTTTCCAGCAAGAGTCAGCACTGTTTTTTTTAAACAAAAGCAACTTTTCAGATCCTACTGAAATAGTTCTACAATTGAAGTGAAATGGAAAATGTAGACACAGCCAAACACTGATTGCTAAGCATCATCTTGGTGCCTAGTGAGTGTGGTGCAGTTGTTGGGAGTGTTGGACTGGTTGGGGTTCAAGTTCCCAGTGAGCCATACAATGGATGGATGACCTTAGGAAAGGCTGATGTGGGGACAAATTAAAGAGAATAAGAACTACAGGGAGTCCCCGAGTTACAAACATCTGACTTACAAATGACTCATAGTCAAGACAACAGGAAGTGAGAAAAAGCTACCCCTTGAAAGGAAAATTAACTCTTTTCATATAGAAAAGGTGGCTCCATTGAAGCTTTATCACCAATTCTTGTTCCGACTTACAAATGAATTCAATTTCAGATCACTTGTACATAACTTGGGGACTGCCTGTACATATATCACCTTGCGTTTGCTGTATCAGAAGCAGGATTAAAATCTAACACACACACATCCAACTTGAATTGCCACAGTTCCATCATATAGAAGTCTGTTTAGCAGATTTGAGAAAGGCCATGTAAGATTTTCAGACAGAGAGCTCACATTTCCCAGATAACTACAAATTTAATGAATTGGAGCCAGGACAATTAAAATGGAATAATAGGACTTTACTTTTTTTTTAAGTGTGAATGAGTCCCTAGTTAATAGCTGAATTGAAGGCTCAAAGGAGATAGCCACAGGTATCACAGATCACTAGACAAAGCAAGTCCTAAGTACTTTGGGTGTGCAGGGAATGGAAATTAAAGTATGTTAGTAGCAGTAGAAAAAGCAGGTAGCTAAATAGTTTAGTATCCAAGCAGATATTAAATTGGGGGTACATTTCCAGAAGAAGACTTTTATAATGGACCAAAACAACAACTATCTTTTCCCACCTATCTAGCTGCAATTCATTGTGCTTTTCAAATAGCTTCCACTGTAACTTGGGGATTTGGGGAATCTTCAGAATGGTAGACAGTGAAGCATGAGGAAGAAATCAATCAATCCACCCCATGCTCAGGAAGCACAAGGGATTCAATCCCTTGTGTCTTACCTTTTATTGCCACTGGTTAAGTTTACAAAAAACAACAGCAAGAAGCAAAAGAAGAGTACTTTTGACAGCTATAGAATGAAGTAAACCTAATTTTGCACCTATTGAACAGAAAAAAAACATTTCAAATGATCTTGCAGTTCATTGTGAGATTATTTTTAGTACAATTTAAAAAACTGAACCACAAACTTATATGGACAAATTTACTCATTATGACAATTCCTAAAAAATGTAAAAAAAAATTCCTTAAAAAGCTGCCAGCATCCATTAGTTTTTCAACAATGTTTAATGTAACACACACAAAATATCCTACCAGATACCACTAAAAACATTGTTAACATTAAAATCAAAAATTTAATAATGTTCATCTAAATTTGCCAATATCTGAATTAATGTGATAGTCTATTGTTTTTTAACATGACTGTCATTTTACTAGCTCATTGATGTGCAATTCAATAATAATAAGGTTGGCTTTAAAGAGATTATTTTATGTTAATGACATCCTCCACATGTTGGGTCACACTTAGGGTTAAAGAACTGGAAATGTAAATGAATACCCATTAGGGTGGGTAATAGCTGATCATTAACTGTGTGCTTTATTAGAACTGCCAAGCTTACTATTCTAATTAAAGAACAGAAGTAATTTTCCTCACTTTATGGATGAACTTTTAAGGTAGAGATATTTCATTCTAAATGCAACTTACTTCTTTTCACATTTTTGTTAAACTTTAAAGTATTTCCTCTTCTTACTTTTCATTAAACCCTTTTCTTACCAGATATAAAAACTTCCATCCAACAATCTATAACAACATAATCGGATACAGCTAAACTGTATCATCTTAAGAGGTTTCCTATTCCAGTTGTACATATAGTATAGTCCTATAGTAGCCATCAAAATGCCTTTGGAAAGTCCAGAAATGGAACATTAGTGCCAAAACACCTTTTTGTTCATGGTCTCCAGCAACAGGAATGAAAGATATGTTGCCTCTGACACTGAAGCCAACAAGGACTACTTCTGGGAATGGAATTAGATGAAAGCCCATTTTCATCCACAAAATTACTCCATTCACGCCACACACAAAAAAAAACTTCAAGAAGGAGGAGATCACCTAAACTGGTGTCTACCACTATATCTTGTGGTAGCTAAATCAATAATCTGCTGTGGAAGGAAGACTTTGCCTTTGTCTATCCTTCCTTTTTAACCATGTTGATGCTTGGGAACCACAAGTGGGAGTCAACTGTTGAATATGAATATCCTACTAATGAGACTCCTTTGGGCAACTGTGTGAATGTAATGCTAGTAGAAACAAGCTTTTGGTTTGCATGGTATGATTTGATAACTATCCCACTTGAAGTAAACATGAAGGAGGTGCCAGCACCAAGGATCTGCCACATGCTTTACAAAACATAAAAAGGATCCTACTCAGAGGACATATCCTGGCAGAAAGGTTAAGTGTGTATCCAGAGGGAATTGACATGAGCAGTTGGAATGAAGACCAAGAGGGCCAAGAAGGCACCAGAAAGGGGAAGCTCATTGTGTTGGTGGAAAAGAAAAAAACTGCAATAAAGAAAAAGTAGTATCATCGAAGTCTTAGATGGACCATGGAAAACTGAGTGGGCAAGACAATACCAGCTGCAAAGAACAACATGAGATTCACACACACAACACAAAAATAAAAAAAACTGGTACAAGAGGAGTCTGGAATCAGTAGACCATGAAGGGATGTTAGAAATTATAATATAAAATGTAGGCTAAAATATTTCACTGTTAACATTAATAGCATATCTAAATGAGTCAGCAGTACTAGCATTGGCACTGCTAAAGCCTTATACCATTTGAAGAAGAGATTATGTTAAAAACCGAAATGGATCACAATGTACTGAAAATGGACTAACAGTAAACTCATAGATGTCTTGACTCAAAAATACATCTCATTACTTTCAACTGGATTACTCACAGGAAATGTACGTCCGATTATAAAAAGGCCATTAGCAGCAAGAACAATTTTATAGAAATGCAAAGAAAGGAGCTAAAACAAAGAGATGCTTACAGGTTTCCATGCCCTCGTCATCCTCATCTGCCCCGGGTTTATCATATGACTTGTCAATTGCAGCTCTGAAACTTTCATTGCATCCCCGCCCCCGGATTATCCGTGGTCGTGGGCGATGGAAGGGAATATCACCATTCAGAGTCACTTCTGCAACTGCCGTCTGCAAACTTTCTAAAGAGCTGGATTTCTTCAGTCCTAATGAAGGACCCACATCTCTGGTTGGGGAACCTTTACAAAAAGAAAAGAATAATATTCGGATTAGTAAAGAGGAATTCTCATGCTTGATTTATTCACAGTCACAATGGCAGCCTATGGGGAATATGATCAACATTATTCACACTATCTCTCCAGTCTGTAGGGAATTATAGGCAAATTGGTGGGATGGAGCAATGAGTGTGTCAAGTCATATTCTGAATTTGACAAGGTTAGCCTTGTCTCACTTCTTAAATTGGTGGGAAGGTAAAGTCATCACTATTACTTCAACAATTTAATGAGAACAAAATAATTACGAAGCTGTTAAAAAAAACACCACCAGGGACTAAATAGTAAAGATGCCAACACTATATATTTGATTGGCATAGCCAGTTAATTTCTTTTTTTTAAAAAAAGAATAAAAACAATTCAATGTAACCACTGCAAATGATGAACATTAAGGAGATTTTATTGACCTAAAATTAGCCTGCATTCTCAGAATAACATCTAGGGAAAATTCTGCTTCACTAGCTACTTTCATGAAGTGAATTTTAATAACCTGCACTTAAATATTGCACTGTTCCCAAGGGCTTGTCTACATAGATTTTTCTCCCTAGGATTAATTAACCCATATTAGTTAATATGGTTATTATACATTACAGCTCATGTCGACAATTATTATGGACTAAATGTGAGTAATGTAAATTTTCTTACCTTGATTAGAAACAGAGATTAACACAGCATGATAAAAGCACTAATCATCTCAAATAAACATTTACACAGGAAATATTAGCTAATAAATAACATTAATAATGGGGAAAATGGAAAATAAATCTGTTAATTAGCACAGTGTAGAATAATTTTTGAATGAAGTGCATATGGATAACTTTAGAATATTCAATAGACTGGTTCTAAAAACATAGTTGCCATGTGCTATTTTACTGAAGGTTTACTATAAATTGTTTTTATTATTTGCAAGTATTTCCAAATCCCCATGATTACAAAGGATTATTAGTGTTATTATCATGATAAGGTAATTCCCATTCCTAAACAAAGCAACAACCTTTCTCCTGAAGTATTTGGCATCAATTATGTATTCTAAGAAGAATATAAAATTTAATAACTGAAATATTGAAATTTTATTTTAAATCCTATCTACCAGCTCTGCTTCATGGTACCAACTAATTATGGGTAAGGGTCAGCAAAGAACATTTCGTCCATTTGTCTGCTGCCATGACCAAAATTGTTCTAGACTTGTTTCCAAACTTCCGTGGCATCAACCGTCTTAAAGAACCATGAATGCTTTTTATGAAACAGGGGTAAAGAAACCTTATTAGTGCGGGGTGTTAATATATTTCCCCCACTGACATAAATAAACCAAGACTCCAGTGACAGCCCAAATGGGATGCATAGGCCTGGGTAACAACGGAAAAATTTGTTTCTAAAATCGATTTGTATTTGGGGTTTTTTTTTTTTTCGATATTTAAAATAATTACAAAATTTTCCCTTAAAAAAGTTCGGTATTTACGAAATTTCGTTAATATTAACGAATCAATTCGTTAAAATGGCGGACGCGGTTGCGCGACGTGAAAATAATAGTTTTAAATAATAGTTTTAACCTCGGAGAAGGAAAGAGGGGGGAAAGAGAGAGAGAGGAGGGGTGAAACAAACCACTTTCTGCCTTCGTGAATGTAAGGGACAGTGAAAGCAGTACTGAAAGATGGCCATCCATTCTTAATAATAATAATAATAATAATAATAAATATAATTAATATAATAGTTTTAACCTGGAGAAGGAAAGGGGGGGAAGGAGAGAGAGAGGAGGGTGGGTGAGATCTCTATTCTGGTTTGACAATGCTTCTTCTCAATAATAATAATAATAATAATAATAATAATAATAATAACAAACCACTTTCTGCCTTCCTGAATATAAGGGACAGTCAAAGCAGTACTGAAAGATGGCCATCCATTCTTAATAATAATAATAATAATAATAATAATAATAATAATAATAATAAATATAATTAATATAATAGTTTTAACCTGGAGAAGGAAAGGGGGGGAAGGAGAGAGAGAGGAGGGTGGGTGAGATCTCTATTCTGGTTTGACAATGCTTCTTCTCAATAATAATAATAATAATAATAATAATAATAATAACAAACCACTTTCTGCCTTCGTGAATGTAAGGGACAGTCAAAGCAGTACTGAAAGATGGCCATCCATTCTTAATAATAATAATAATAATAATAATAATAATAATAATAATAAATATAATTAATATAATAGTTTTAACCTGGAGAAGGAAAGAGGTTAGGCAGGCAACAGGCAGGTCTCTGAGTGCTGCACTGCTGTGTCTCTTTGCCCAATGCACGCAGGCCAGAGTGAGGAACGAGGTGAGGTGACGACAGGAGGAGAGGAGAATTTGATCCACTTAAGCAGAGGCCAGGGACCCGGAAGTGGGGTAAATGCCGACCGCTTGCAACCAGGGAGAGGGGAGGGAAACAACTATAAAACTTGCACCAGACACATACGGAAATAATAACGAAACAATAACAAAACAATTACGAAATAGCTTTAAAAATTCGTTTCGTTTTTTAGTTGCTCCTGGATGGTTTGTTATCGCTTCGTTTACCCAAAAAATAACGAATTATTAACGAATTACGAAATTAACGAATGAAACCGCCCAGCCCTAGGGATGCAATGTTTTCCAAAGTGTTTGCAGTGAAAGTTTGGAAACAGAAAAATTTAAGCATCTGTCAACTTGCAGGTCACAATAAATGCAATGAATTCACACCTATATGTTTTTTTTTTTAAAAAAAAAAATCCCAGATGATAGCTCCCCAATCATTTGATAGAGAAAAGACTTGAGGATAACTAAAGACAAGAGCAACTTGATAATATGAGCAAGAAAGGAACAGGAAGGTTAAGTTCTTTCCAGCTGTGTAAACAATCCTAAGCCTGTGCTTGTAAAATATTTAGAATAATGTCTGGTGTGAGCATTGCACATGAGTCTCCCCTCCCACCCATTACCCATTTTCGAGAGAAATATTTCTGATCTTGACATGTGAAAAGAACCTTTGGTGCAGAGGATGTATCCTATATTTTACAGCGCCTTCATAACCATTTAACCCAAATCTGCTGAGTGACTCATTCTCCATGATTTATTTCAATCCAAGAAAGGATGAGGAAGAAAAAAAAATATCTAAAATCCTAAAAACATGTAGGTGAAATTTTTGAAAGAGTAAGGGACAAGGTTGCCATGAATAAAGCAGCTGTTAAACAGCTTTATTCTTTATATCACTGGGAGGGGAAAGGTTATCCTACACTGGGGTAACTATAAACTTTCTCCAATTTTGCATTTGAATCTCTATTTTAAATGAAATATGCATCAATATTTTTCTAATTACCAAGTGGGGCTGAATCCCTTTTGTAAACAGTAGCTACATTTATGTTCACAAGGGACATTAAAGAAAAAGCTTCTTTTCTCCTTCCCAGTATGGATCACTGTGAGAACAATATTTATGTAAGTTGCATGATCCCAAAGGAAAAGCGAGATGGGATATGACCTAATGTTCCCAGAGTACTGTAAAATTAATAATGGATTGCAGGAATGGTAACAGTATTTATTGAACTTGGGTGGCCATAAACATAAATGTGGACAGTCTGCAGACACTGGAAGAAGGAAATAACCCTACATCAGCAGAAATATGTACTGTGGTGATAAAAGCCCTTTTTCTGTGTTCGCAGTTCAGTTCCACTGCTTGTTTCTCCAACCTGGCACCCTCCAGATATTTAGAGCAAAAATTCCCAGAATTCTAATTATTGGTTATATTATAATTTGGAATGGTGTGGATTAAAACCCAAGACACTTTTCTTCGAAACAAGGAAATAATTCACAAGAACTACAGAGATGACCAAACACAATCTATTTTATGTGATTTCAAGAAGACAAATGATTGGGACATGTGTAATATTTTGTCTATCTACTTTAAACTAAGCCATATTGAGTTGAGTGGGTATTGTCCTCAAGATAGGTTCATTTACAAGCCACCAGTACAAGGATCTTAAAAGACCATTCCAGAGGAAAAGAACATCAAAAGGTATACTTAACTCTTATATCCCACTACCCCAATATCTGCCAGTGACATATCAGAGCTAATTGCTGAGCCTGGAACCCCAGGTTTTGGCGGTGACCAGGGGAGCATTTGCACAGATAAAACTTGTGTGCCAGCTGTGCCCATACCTTGGGAAGCCTGACTTAGCCACAGTAGTCCACACTCTGGTTACATCCCGTATATACTGCAATGTGCTCTACGTGGGGTTGCCTTTGAAGACTGCCCGGAAGCATCAAATGGTCCAACAGATGGCAGCCAGATTGCTAACAGAAGCAGGACTCAGGGAGAATACAACTCCTCTGTTGCGCCAGCTCCAATGGCTGCCAGTTTGCTACCGGGCACAATTCAAGGTGCTGGCTTTAGCCTATAAAGCCCTTAATGGTTCTGGCCCAACTTACCTGTCCGAATGCATCTCCCCTTATGTAACATCTACAACTTTAAGATCGTCTGGGGAAGCCCTGCTCTCGATGCTACCTGCGTCACAATAAGTTTGGCAGTGACGAGAGACAGGGCCTTCTCAGTGGTTGCCCGTCAGCTATGGAACACCCTTCCTAGGGACATTAGATCAGCCCCATCCCTCTTAACATTCTGGAAAAAAGTCAAGACTTGGCTGTTTGAGCAAAAATTCAAAAATGTAGTGCAACAGACATAGGAATATGGAACGACTGGATGATGAGATTGGACTTTTTAACTAGGAGACATGAATGATTTATGTTTTATTGATCATGTTATGATTTTATATTACATGTTAATATTTTTGAATGTTTTTATGGTGTTGTTGGGCATTGAATTGTGCCTCTGTAAACCGCCTTAAGTCGCCTGCGGGCTGAGAAGGGCGGTATACAAATAAAGTAAATAAATAAATAAATTGTCAAAGCCTCACAGATGCAAATGGGCAAGAAAATTCCTTCCTGGACTTGA